ATAAAAAATCCATTATCTCAAGTTCTGTTGCATGTATTCTATTATTGTGAGTCTGTCAGTGTTACAGGATGGTGTAACCTATAATTTCTAACCTGGTGTTGTGAGCTGACTCCTCTCCTTTTTTACTCTTCCAGATCTTTCCCTTTGCACTTTGATGAGACTTCTCTGTTTGCCGGTAATGAAAAGGAAGCAGCCCAACTGAAGGTCAGCAACCTTTTAAAACTCTAAACTCGCAACGACAGAAAGAAAGTAACGCAACAGACTGATGGTTTCAAATTTAGAGGGAATACTACTGAATATATTAAGCAAGGACAATTCACAGATTCTGTGCTTTTGTATAATTACATTTTTTTGTTTGTTTGTTCTGATGTTTTTTTTTTGCAAATTAAAAAAAATTGTTGACTCTAGAATTGCTCAGTTAGATTAGATTTAATTAGAAGAAATTTATTTCAATGATGTGGCAAATAGTAAGAAAATGAAGCAAGAAATGGGGAGCATTTAAAGCAAATTCTTAATAAACAAAGGCCCTATCTCTGTTCTTTAATCAGATATTAGTCAGTATATAAGTCAAATAATTACCTCAGTACATGTCCTTTTTGCACATACCTCATACATGTGCTGGTGACATTTTAACAACAACAGTCCTGAGTTTAATCAGACCTCTTCCTCATCCCCACATCCTCAACAGACATATTTTTGAGTTGATTTATTTATATTTATTCTTTAGGTCAACTTATAAGCTGTTCTACAAATTCTGCCCACAAATTGAATGAAATGCACAAAGACAACTTTTGTTCAAATAAATGTCATCTTTAAGTTATGAGAACGTTGAGATGAAGATGACTGAACTGCTTTCTTCTATAGCTATCAATAATAACCAGAAGATGACCACTAGATTAAAATAAAAGCTCCTAGATGCAGATTTGATACCACTGGAGTGTTTCAGAACCACTAACATCGAGAATCTTTTGCTGACAACGTGCTGCCGAGAGGAATTTAATGTCCTCTGGTTGTGTAACATTCAGACTTCAGCGTTAACTTATGAAGTGTTGTGTGCTGTGATTGTCAGGAGGACATCAGACTGGCCTTCCTCAACATCTCCAGGATCATGGACTGTGTGGGATGCTTTAAATGCCGGCTTTGGGGGAAACTGCAGGTATTTCTGCTGCATCCATTTACAGCGTCTCAGAGTCTGTCATCAGATAAAACACTGGTTCACAAAGTCGGGCATAAATCTTTAAAAAATAGAAAACAAAAGTTGAATTTCTTTCATTATTCATTGTGCAAAAGTTGAAAAAGTACAGAAATCAACATGTAAAACATTTACTAAAGTACCCCGGGGTGTTTCCAACAGTGGATAACATCTGTTGGCTTTGCATACTATAGATATTAAACTTTAATTCATTTGTTCCTCTGTCTGCTCTGTGGAAACACTGCCTGCAGTTCAGCTGAAAATTCTAAATTTTTTGTCTGTTGTCGGACTGTTGGAGTCAGTAATGACTTCATGATGCACCAGGAGCGCCAAACGTTCTGCTTTCTACAGAATCTGGCACAAATGATTTACTTTAGACACATTTTTAAACAAGATTTATACGAATGATTTCCCATTTTTAAGCTGAGATGTGGTTGTTTTCTGCGCGTCACAGATGATTCGTTCCAAATGTAAAAGGTTGAAAAGTTTTGACAGTTTCTGGCTCAGGTAAATGATGTAAACTTGGCATTTGAAAACAAACAAACAAACAACAACAACAAAAAAAAACTCCCGGTATACATCGATAGATTGAAAGATAGATGGATAGATCACTTATGTGCCAGTTTATGCCTTTACTGCATCACTTCATGGTGGAATTATCTCATATATGTAAAGGAAAACACAAAATTTAGCTCCAATGTGTGAACTTCTAGCGATTTTTAAAAATGTTTTTATGAGAAGGACCGATATGAAGGGAGATGTCATCCCCCTGAACCCTCCGCCTGTGGTCCTGTCTGACGACGACTGTGTCCTGGAGATGAGGAGATGTTTACACGGTGCTCAGACTGTACGCTATGTGTGGTGAAGAACAGCTGCATTATGATGTGCTCTTTGTTTTGTTTTTATCTCTCTCTGTCATCAGACTCAGGGATTAGGCACAGCGCTAAAGATTCTGTTTTCAGCGCAGCAGATTGAAGCTCTGCCCAAATCCAGCGAGCAGCGACCCAGTTTCCAGCTCAGCCGGCAGGAGATCGTCTCTCTGCTCAACGCCTTTGGAAGGTGAGAGTCTGTCATGATAACAATATCATATAATAAGACACCCAGGACCCCCAGTCTGCTGCTTCTGCTGCAGGTACAGAAGATCCAGTCTGAAGCACTTTTCATACCTGAAAGTGATTCATAGTTTTGTCTCAGGTCTGTTCTGAAGCATGTAGCTGGTCAAGTTTGATTTGGGTTTCTTTCTAAAATATAATATTATGAGGTCCTGACCTTGTTATGTGAGTTGCCCTGACGTTATTTATCTTAATTTGGTGCTATAAAAATAAAAAACTACTACGTCTTGCAAATCATTTCTTTGCAGGATTCTTATATGTATTAAACTGATGTCCGGCCTAACTTCTATCATGGCTAGTAGAACATTTGTTGGTTTTTTAAGAGCTTTTACAACAAGCTCCAGTCTGTCTTATTTTTTAATCGATTATCGAAAAGGATCTTAAAGTTCAGATACTGGAGGATTATTTTTAACAAGCTGCCACATTTACCAACATACATGTAGAAAGAAGTGGAAGGCCAGTATCCTCTACGTGGTATTTTTTCTTTGCTCCGGTCACATTTTTAGTCACTGTGGCTCATTTTTCACTGAAATGTAAAGTCCTGTACTTTAGTGGAAACAGCACAACCATGACTAAGAGAGAGAACTCAGAAATGTCTTATGTACAGTGTGACATAATTAGAATACCACAAATTATATATATAAAAAAAAAAGATCAAATGAAAATTGAGTTTTCTTGATTGTTATTTTTGCCAAACCTGGAATTAACATGCAGCAGATATTAAACTATTTAAAGTTTTACAGACTTTTTCACACTATTCTGTGCATCAACTCTTGATTGACTATTGAATTTCCCTTCTGGGATGAATAAAGTATTTTTCATTTCATTTCATTTCATTCTCTACAAAGATGTTTCACCGTGCTGAATGTATCCTCCAACATTTTGCTCCTCTTTAAACAGTTTCTAAGCCACGCTGCATTTATTTTATTAATCCAGTGCATTGGATTTTCCTCTCAGCCTCTTTCTCCTCTTTGCTCTGCGTAAACACCGCCTGCAGTTCACTGGAAAACTGAATTTTTATCACGTGTCACAGCTCCTTCACTAAGGGCATCTTAGTTGTGTTGAAGAGTGCAGAATTATATTTTTGGACATTTAAAAAAAAAAAAGAGAGAGAGACTTATAGAATAAAGCAATTGAAATGTGACTATATTAAGCTTGTTTTTGGTGATTCTTCCTGATAGATTGGAGGATTGTTGCTGCTTTTAAAGTTTCTTACGATGACAGATGGTGTAAATTCAGTTTTGCTTTTGTCTTTTCTTTTAAAAGGAAGCTTTCCTTTCATGTCCCAGCGAGTTTTAGAGCTCAGAGGTTTATCCAAAAAGTGTTCCAAACCCACATACATTTTGTAGGATGTAATATTAGAACTGCAAATTTTCATACTATAGCATCAAGTACTTTGGATTTAATACAATACATTGAAGCCAACGTTATTATTGTTTGTCTTGTCGTATTTGTCCTGCAGGATTTCCACAAGCATCAGGGAGCTGGAGAACTTCAGGTCGCTGCTGGCGGAGGAGCGATGAGGCTTCGACAGGAGCTTCACCCGTCTCGACTCGTCTGACGGGGTTTTATTTTAAACGCAGACAGCCGTCCGTCCGTCCAGCTGTTTTAGTCCTGCTGACATCTCGTTTTATATTCTCAAGGCTTTTGAATGATAAAACATCAGCTTCGATCAGCTGAGTTTATTTTAATTTTTTATTTTTTTTTAGATTATGATTTAGTTTTTATTTTTCACAAAAATGAAGTTTCTTGAATCAAAAATAAAATCAGAATTTTTACACTTCTGGAAATATTTAAACTTTCTCCTGGTGCCTTCAGGTGTTTACTGAAACTGTAAAAGTCTCAAAGTCTGTGAGACGAGACTGAAGCGTGAAGCTGCTCCTTTGTTACAGAAAATTCAGAGGAACAAGAATCCAAACACATTCCTTTATCTGAAAACAAGCTGTGAGCTGATAGAGTTGTGGATGGAGCGAACAGCTGCTCAGTTTGCTCATCAGCCTGTTTTTGTGATTCTGCGTCGGTCCTGACGATGGAGCTGTTCGTGCAGAAAACGCATTCATGCTGATAAATGCAAAATTGAATGTTTTTGAAACTCTTCAGGAACAAGATGCAAACGTGAGATGTTAAATGAAAACTGTACAGGAGTGAAGATAGAATATTTTAAATAACTTTATATTTGGCCTCATGATGTTCTCTTCAACTGTCCTCCATTTTTATAACACCCTGTCCCGGGTTCATGGTGCCTTCAGGGACACCTGGAGAACTCCAGCTCCTGCTTTTCACAGCTTGTTTTAGTCTAAACTGAACTTTTTGAAGTCATTTGTGGATAAAATTCAAAGTTTTGACACAGAACTTCTGCTGATGTACATGAGAGACTGTGTTGTTTTTTTGTAAATGCTGTTGTATAAAATGAAGAAAGGAAAAGCTGGAATGTGAAAAACATCATTTGAATGTGTTTTAGGACTAAAAGTATGAAAGAAAAAGACACATTAAGGTTATTTGGCTCATAAAATATGTGTATTTTTGTAATATGCTGTTTAACTAGCACCTTAAGGAAGGTTTTTTAAAACATACAAGAAAACGTTTTTCTAAAGACCCACCTAAAACATGAAGTCCTTTGTTGGAAAGATCACGTATTTATTTTATTTACAGTTCATCTGAATTACTTTGAATAATACATTTACATTTGACTGAGTGCCATTAATCACAATTGTAATTGTATGTTGGGAGAATATATATATATATATATAGTTATTTACTTTTTGAATTACATCCCATTTATGTCAGAAGCTTAAGGTCAGCGGGTTTACATATCAGCTAATAATAATGTTAGTATTTTTTTGTGTGGAGGTGTAGGAACATTAAACATTTGATCCTAATTTTCAAATCTGTTCACAGAGACATCGGGTAAATTTGCTTAAACATTCATCATTATAACTGTGTTCAACTTTACTTTGTTTGCTGCAGTTTGCAAATAAAAAATACATAAAATCAATCTGCAGTCTGAGTTTGAAAAGACTTCTCTTATTCTCTCTTCTTTTAGAAAATGTATAGATTTTTTAACCATTGGTCTTTGAAAAGGGCTGCA